CTTCTCTGGGAAAAGTTCAGCCATCCGGTCACAATGATAGAAATATTTCAAGATGATTACAGGACTTGATACACTGTGTATCTGTTCCAAGAAGTAAGAGGGGAGAAGGTGATGTGGGGATAAGGATTTTATTAGTAAAAGCAATCTCTTGGTGGTTTTTGGTATGTTTATTGCCGGTAGTTGGTGCTTTGGAAGAAGAGTGGATGCTAGTACAAAAGGATTAAAACTTCTAAGTAAGTCTCTTCCAAAGGATTTTTTTTTTTTTTTTTTTTTTTAATATTCCTTCTAACCTGCCAGTCCAGTGCATGGTTCCTCCAAAAGACACAAAATCTGCAATCTCAGAGCTATAGCACTTGACCGTCTTTGTGACGGTGTTTCTTGATGTCTGTTCTAAATCAGTTCCACAATTCTTACTCTACACAGTGAGGGATTGTTTCATGACAGCAGAAGCATAGGGCAACTCAACTCAGCTCATCCTGATGTAACTGAAGGACTGTTAAATAAATGAAGGCAGGTATTGATGAACCTTTCAGGCTTTTTATGGACTATCCTCTTTAAATAAAAAGGAAAAAAAAGTGGCACTTAATGAAGGAGGAGTACTTACATTTTCAAAAAAGGATTTTTTCATGACCTATAGCTGGCTTCTGGCTGAGTATCTCGACAAAACATATCTTTATCTTTAATTCCATAGCTCATTCCAGATTTTGAGCTTGCTCCATTCTTACTAATTTGAAATTTAGTGATGGAAGCTGTAGTTCATAAGCATTTTAACAGGTGTTACTTGCATCTTTCCATGCCCATCTCCTCCCATCTTGAATGAGTTTCACAGATCCTCTGTATATCACCTGCATGCTGTAGTCCCATCTCTTCCAATTTTTGTGTTCTGTAGTTAAAACATAAAACTGCATCGCAGCAGTTAAGTATGGGATTAGAAATATTGCCAGGCATCATCACTGAGGGAGGTGATCATGAACCTGAATAGGTAAGGTTGCAGAGGGTGAGGTGTTTTTGAGGAAAGCAGCCAAGAACAGGCGAGACTGGTTTAAATTCAGTGAAGTGTGTTTCCAAGTGACAAAAAAAGTAAATGAAAAATACAACCCATATTCTCTTCCCCCTGTTTTTCCCATTTACTGAAAGCTTATGACTAAATGCAAAATGGAAGACAAGTTAGCAAGTCTTAGATGACTGGGAGGAGCCTTGAAAATTCTATTTACTTTGGATGGAAGAGAAAAATACTAGACCTAAGAGCATGAGAAAATGGGAAGGAATGCAAGAGGAGGAAGCAGAAATTTGGAGAAATGTTAGATTCTACATTGCCAGCAGGCAATCTTGGAGGAAGAGTATGCCTGTCTATATATATACTAAGGATGACAATGTTTGGGTCAGCCACGTCTGGCGGTACATAGCCAGTGAAAGAACAAAGAAGAAATGCAGGTTTTGTATTTGTAGTTAGGCAGCTGGATTTTCTAAATGGAGTTCAGTTCTTTTTTTCTTAATTTTTAGTTCCATGTTCTTAACCCTTACCACAGCTGGCATGGTGAACTGAAACTGAGAAAGAAACTGTTTGACACACAATGACACCTGCAGCTATGGGAGGTGGTGGCCTAGTTTTTGATGTGAAAATAAACCTTTCTTTCAATTTTGTCTTAAATTATATTAGTAATCTAACGGTCTACTCACAAATGTTACATTAGGATTTTTTCTAATGATTTAAAAGGCATTTGTTTACCTCTTACATTGATGGCATCTTTGGTGCCTTTGGTTGCTTCTGCCTTAAAATACTTGGCCAATTAGAGCATGGTGCTTATATTCTTCAGTTGGCGACTATGAAATCCTCACCTAGCATTTCTTGTGAGGTTACCCGTTTCAGGAAATATGTAGCTCTTTTAGTGAAGGAATAACAAAAAAAATTTGCTTTAGTTGAATTTGCAGCATTATTGTAAATATTTTTTTTAGCGCATCTGTACATTTTGCCAGTGTATTATTCATGTCCTGGAGGAATATTTCTGTGCTGGAGTAACACAGCCTTTCCATAAGGTTTCTGCTCTTCAACTGACTGCTAATCTCTGTCCTGGAGAACCCCCTCTGAGAGTTGGAAGTTAGGGAAGCAAGATTATTGCTCTGACGTAGGTATTTTTTTTAATGAGTAATTACTTCTTTTCTTAAAGAACTTGTAAACTTCCTCAAAACAGCTAGAACTTTTTTCCCAATAAGCCCTTCATATATAGGTTCTCTGATCTGTTGTTGTAGAATGTGTATTAAGACCTATGGATTTGTGTTATATAGGAAGTCTTATCGTTAATACTTTAAATAGTGATGTGAAAGCCTGACTGCTACTGTCATATTTTTCGTTTGCTTTGGGTTATGTGTATCACTTTTAAAAGTAGTGTTTGCTTGGTGAGATTGGAGTTATCGGTCAACACCATGTTACCAAAAATGTCTACTTTCTTTTCCTGGGTAAATTTGTTAAATTGGAGATGTCATCAAGTTCAAACCTCTCTAGTAATTGAGAAGTCTTTGTGGATTGGCTACACGTGAGCAAAAACTCCACTTTAGGAGTGCATAAAAGAGTGGATGAGGATAAAAGAGGAGGCTCGGTGAGAAACGTGGTCAATTGACTCAGAGAGCACTGGAGTGGCGAACCGATCAAAAACCAGTTTTATATGAGTGTGAAGAATGGGATGTGGAAAATGGTCCTCAAGTGATGCTAAATGGCTTTAATGCCTTGCATGTTGGGGGGTGGGGGGGGAATGCGAAGAAAATCTTTTCTTTGTGAACGGGTGCAGGAGGATACTGAGATTAATGTAATGTAAGGCAAAGTTTGTATATAGTTAAAAGTTTATAATTTTTTTTATATGATGCATTTTTTCAAGTGTATTTTGGTCTTTAATAGATGCTATTGTAAGTACTGTGTACACTATCCAGCTAATAAAAATTTATAAACCGAGAACAAGCTTTGGCTCTGTTTTTCAGACCTTCTGCTCTTCTCAGTCGAGTGGCAGCAGTGAGATGGAGCGGTGAGGGCAGGTAGTTTTAGCACCGCTGAGAAACGCCTAGGCAGCTCGGCCTCCACACTGGGGGATGGCTGGGTGCACCTGCTGCTCTTCTGCCTTTTGGGGAAGGGTCTGGACATCTTGGTGTCCATTTTCCCCTCTATCCCCATCCTGCCATCTTGCTGCCATCTTGCTGTCCGAGGGGACTGCTCTGCCCGCCCTGGGGCCTGGCTGCTGGTGAGCGCTAGAAGCTGACTGGCTGAGGGGAGCTGGGGTGTCCCACCATGGGTGTTCATTGGGTGGATGTTGCTGTGGGACACCTGATTGGCTGGTGAAGAAGGCCTCCATCTTGCCCTGCTGCTCTTCCTCACGGGCTGCGGTAGTGCCTCAAGATGGTGGCTGTGAGGTGATTTGCATGCAGGAGCAGGGCTGTCTGAGAAAGGGCTGCAGGAAGGATGGAAGGCGGCCTTGCTTCTCAGCCCTGAGCCCCGGGAAGCTGCTGTGACCCTCTTGGAGTTTGGAAATGGCCTCACTGAGTTGGAGGAGAGAAGGAAGGCTGCTTCCAGCTGGCCAGTGTTGCTTTTGTGTGCCCTTCAAAGTGTGGGGAAAGTGTTCGGTGAGTCTGGGCTGGGAGAAAAGATGATGCACTGCAATTATTGTTTAAAAGAAAAAATTACTATTCTAATAATGAAGAGAAATATGCCCAGTAGTCACACTGTGTCACATCCATAGCTCGCCAGCTGCTGGAGATCTGTTGGCATAATGCTCCGCATGCCTAGGTGACATTTCAGCCTCTTCGCATGCTTGCTGCACGTTTCATTGCATTGAATAATTATCCCTGAAAGGCCGTGCAGAAGAATCCAGTGAATATATAGAAGCACAGGGAGTGTCCTATGGGTGCAGTAATGGAATCCGTACAGGGTTGCATAAGTGTAAGAGGCGACAATCCAACTTCCTGTTAGCCAAGTGCTTTTCTAAGACACTTATTCCTTTTTAATCTTGGCTACCTTCCAGGAAGGTGGTTTCTTCTTGTTCCCAAATTCTCAGCCGAGTATCATGTCATTATCTTTTTTGGCCAAATATAACTGAATGGACCCTTAGAAAAAGCTTATTGTGTTTCGGCACAAAAGGAAGAGGAGGAACTTTCTTCTTAAGAGGATTGGGCAGGCTTTGAAAGGTTTAAGAGAGAGTCAGTTCCCATGTCTGCCTGCTAATCCCTCTCAGGCATGCTGTTTCTGCCATGTGTGCTGCTCCGGGTGTCTCAGCAGTATTGTAATTTAAACATTCACTATGATAACGTAAATACTTTTATCAAGGCTGAGGTCCCACACTGTTAAGCAATCTTTGTGTGGTATCAAGTAGTTGTATGTTACAGTATTGTTGAAACAGATCCTCTGAATTTCAATTCAGCTTGCAAAGTTCTTTGGATTAAAAGCAGACATATAAAAAAGCGAAACATTACGTTGTGCCTATTTTTTTCTCCTGTGTTCTTGGGATAGGCATACAGGGATACACTGCGCAGGTGTTTGTAGCTATATGCGATGTTCTTGAAAGAACAATAGTCACTACTGCAGTTTGGGGGCCTGTTTTTTCCCTCACTGGGGCAAAAACATCTCTCTGCTAGCAAGAAGTTGAAAGCACACATAAATATCACTAGCTGGTAACAAACAGAACAAAAAAGGCAAGTTTTACCCCAAACACTATTGTGTTTCTTTCTCCTGCAGTGGATGCCTTAATGGTGTTTTCCAAGTGAACCAACTGTGAGTGACATCTTTACACTATCCATGAAACTGCTTGGAAATACAGGATGAGTTTGTATTTAGCTACACTGAAGTGGTCCCAGAGCTCCAATTAAAAATAGGTGTGTGCTTCTAATGCCAGTTATAATGGGGCATAACCATACTGCCTATGTTAAGTGTCTGAATAAGGCGAACAGTGTCCCCATAGGTGAGACGGGAGAGAATTTTCTCCAGAAGGCAGTCCAGAGCATTGAGTTACATCCTGCTGTTTGGAAATACCTTCCGAGGATGCCTTTTTCCCTCTGCTGAATGTACAGGATCTGGCCTCCTAACTCAGACACTTGTTATGTGCTGCAAAGCCCTCACAGGCTGGCAGCCAAAGTGGGTCCTGAAGAAAGCTGGCTTGGTTTGCTGTCACTGTGTTGCTGCCAGCTCTGCAATCATGACGAAATGCAGAAATGATGGAAGTGTGATTGTTGGCAAATAGAGCAGAATAAATCCTCAAGGACCTCACAGCTGAAGACTCATGAATGCAGAAGAGCATGAAGGGCAGTGGCCCAAAGGAGTAAGCAGGCATTGTAGGCGTGGAGGGAATGCCCTCAGCACATAATAGGTTATCTGATTACAAAGCCACTTGGATAGTGATTTTTACTGCGTTTTGCTTCATTTTTAATTTGAAATTCTTTTCAGTTCCCTAACAAGAACAGGAACAGACTAATTTAAGGCAATCCCTCACTTTGGAGAGAAGTTCTTCTATCTGCTAATCTTAGGCTAGTCACGGTTGCCAGGATCTTGTCCTTTATTGCTTAACTTTTCTTTCTGGTAATAAATATTTTGCAATTGGTAGGCATGGGGGAGAAGCTAAGCAGGAAGTTGAGAACAATTGAACAGGTCTTCTAAAGTGAATAGAATGAATAAAATTTTGTACTACTAATGTGAAGTGAGTAGGGTTGGTAAGCTGGGTTTTCTCTTTCTTTAGGTTCTTCATGCAACAACACTTCACTGATTCTTTGTACCTGGAGGAGTTAGACACAATCATTTGTTCCAAAAATGTTCTCATGTTTCAGTGACTTCCAGAGGAAGAGGAAAGCTACGAATGAGTCAACCTCATTTTGTCTAGGAGGAGATTCCCTGGTCTCTGTACTTTGTAGTATATCCAAAATTCAGTTTACTTTCCCATTTTGCTTTGTGGATCTTTCAAGACATGGAGCAGAACTGCATGGCTTACATAGTGGCTAATAAAACATTGTCCTTCTCACCACTGACTTTTTAGGCATACTGCAAATTTTACTCAATTTGCAAAACTGCTACTGGAAGGCACTCTGATGGCATAGTACTATGATGACTTTAGCAGAATCTCTAATTTATAATTTATTATATGATTGTTGTGTTCTTATAGTGCACTTAAGGCAAGAGCTCTTTGCAGTGAACAGCAGGTAACACATGAAGGTGCCCAGCTGTTAGTCACATGGATATTTATTTACTCCCTATTAGAGATGAAAATGGTCCTCTCAGTGTTTAGTGCTTTTGAAGTGAGACAAAGAAGAACCAAATAACTATTTCAGCATATAGACTGCAGAGAATGTTTAGATTTGGAGTGAGTTGACTAGATGTCCTGTAGAAGGACAGAGGAGATGTCTGGAGGCACTGGAATGGAATGTAGTGAATAACAGCCTCAGTCTTAGAAAAAAGCCCCGTCCTCTTAGATCCTATCAGCTGTGCCCTGCCCATCTGATATGCCCAGTTCCTAGAATGCTGCAACTTTATTTCCTGCTACTGTCAAATGAAAGATAAGCTCGGAGGATGTGTGAGACATTAGCCAGATACAGTTTATACCACTATTCAACAGCCAATATAGAACTAGGTCACTAACTAGCTGTCTCTGTCAGGCTTATCTGAAGACATGGTCAAGTTTGTAATGTCCCAGATGTCCAGAGGCTGCATGTACATAAGTTAGACCATTCCTACATGTGGTTTGACAGTTAAGTATAACAGAAGTAGACTGGATGGGCTGCTGATGCTTTCCGAATGTAACTACCAGGCATGCCAGTCTGGGTCTTACGGTAATTCTTCCATTCACTGTAGGCAGTTCAGGTTACTAGCAAATCTCCATCATTTGCATGGAATGAAAATACCTGTAAGATGTTGCAAATTTAGAAGGGGTTGAGAGTATTTCTTGTGTCTTTGTTTTAAAACAGGCAGTTATGTATTTACCTTTTGTGACAGGGGACTGATGCCATCCATAGAGATAAACTGTCCCTAGAAACACCTTCAAATTCATCATATAATAGTAGATCATCTTCAGCTTTGTAGGGAGAAAAAATAGTATACCAATAAGCCTCTCTATTTTAACTTCTATTATTTTAGGATCTGAGGTCCCCAGAACTTTTATTGTATATGCCATTGCACCCAGATTAGGAATTTGGGCATATGGGGTTTAGGTGCTTTCAAAGAGTCAAACAGGCTAAATAAGGGATTGAATTTTTATATTGGAGCGTATTATGTTAGCCATTCATCTTGCCTGTTGTGTATTGTTTCAGACCTTAATGGTATAGTCCCCACACCAACACTTTTGACATCTCAAAAATGACCCAAAGCTCAAGGGTGTCAGTCAGTAATTCTTTCCAGAGTTGGTCAATGCAATGATGACCAAAAAAAGAAAAAAAAAAAAAAGAAATACCAGTACACAATAACAGAAAATGGGAAGTTGAGACAGGAAGTGAAGAATGCAATCATGCAAGCCTGTTTAGGAAGCCAGAAGTTGATTTCTTTATCTATTATTATGGGGTTTTTTCCTAGCTTTATTTTCAGGGAATTTACAACAGAGGGACAAAATAATCTCAGATATAATGGCAAAAAGCCTGCTACTGTGTAGCAACATCAGACCAGCCAGTAGATCACTCTTCTCTCCCCCGTCTCTCTCTCCCCGCTTCAGCATTCACAGACAGAGTGGAGTTTATATGATTCATGGACATATTCTCTCTCTTGTCGCATTCCTTTCTTTCCATGCCACCTAATACCTAGGTTGGAGTCTCCTAGCAATCAGAATACCAAAAAATTAAAGCCATTTTTGTATCACATTCAGCATCCGCGGGCACAACTCATGGAACTAAGATGCAAATCTCAGTTAGATTAATTTCGAGATTTATCCATAATCCTGAATGGATGTTTGAATATATCACCATGATAACCACCAGGATTCAGTAGTGTGATCAAAATGTGTGTAGTTTATAATAGTCAAGCTAGATTATACTGTAGCATGGGTGTGGCATTAATAAACAACAAGAACCAAAAGCAAGGACATACAAAGTTATTTCTTTATAAAAATAAATAACTAACTTTGGACATAAGTTCTGCACCCATGTGTTCAAGCTGAAGACATTTTATACTGTAATGTAGACAAATATTTTTCAACAAGACCTTTGTTTACTAAGACATGCCAAGTGCATTACTTGCCTCTCTGAAATCCATGAAACAACTCATGTTTAAAACAAAGCAGATTCTTCACCACTTTGCTGCCTTGGATCTTATCAGAGTGGGCAATAATTAACATTTTATATATGAGTAAGTGAGATGCTGAAGTTGAAAGTCTAAAAAGAAGCATTTTGTTTCCGTATCTCACAGCCCTTTGTTGACTGTGGCACTGTATCAGTTGCTACCAGAGAGAACCACTTTCCTGTACTTGAGTTTATAGTTGCTGTCATTTAAAAATACAGCAATTTGGAAAAAGCAAACATACCATAGCCTTCCCCTAGATTTGCTTACCAGTAGCTGAATTGTGATGCTGTACTATTAGAAAAGTGCAGTTATTTTTTCAGGGAAGGTTTGTGCATCCATGTGCCTCACCCTTTCATTTGCTTTCTGCCTCACACCCCATATATATCCAGCTTCAGCAACTGGTTACAAATGGATTGTTTCTAAGTGTGGTTCAGCAAAATTTTGCGAATAAGCCCAAGGCTTTGTGCTGCTTTGTTTAGGTGGACCTGTTTTTCTATTTTCAGTGCCAGAATGTGGAGTTGTGGCTCTGAAGATAACAGTAGCATATTCCACAGACCCTGAGGAAACTGAATTGCATGGTGGTTCTTGAGTACGGAAGAAAACTTCTGGTGAAGGCTGAATGTTCACATATATAACATCTTCAGGCTTCCTCTGAGGTTGGTGCCTTATGACAGCATATATTGTACTATCATGCAGTTCCCCATCTGGCATTCTACTTGCTTTGTTTCTTCCATCCCTCTGAGAAACCACAAAGAATGAGAAGTTAAAAAGAAATTCAGCATTTTTTGCTCCTGATCATTACTGTTAGTTCATCAAAACCACAAGTATTTTCTCCTCATATCATGAAACTGGGGAAGAGGGGAGGGGATGCATGGGAAAAGGCTATATGTGCTCAGAGAAGTTTAGAAAACTGCTCTTACACAAAACTCTACTTCCTCAGATTTAAGGGACTGGGTAGAAAGGTGCTGCAACAGTTAACACAATAAATAGGCAATTGCAACTAGCAATGTTTTCCTTTGATGAGAACCTTTGGTGATGTTACGGAAGATTCAAGGCCAGTTAATTATCAAAATTATGTATTTGTTACTACATTCATTTTTCTGAGTACTTTAAACAAAAATGTGCAGAACGGCTATGACTTAAATAACCATGTTAGGTTTTGTCTGCAAAAAGATGTCCTACAATCAACAAATATAGACAGCTAGCTTTAGTCTGCTAGCTTGAATGGATGCTATGCATCCACTGTAGGATGCAGGGTACTGGGTGCTTTGTAACCCCCGTGAGTGTTGAACACGGAGCTGGTGTCTCTGCATGACAGATCAAACAAAGCACCAGGAATGTGGGATTTCTGATGATGTCTTACCTGCAGTGCTCCTGGGCTTAAAGCAGGATGTCTGCCAAAGTCCATCCCTTTTCCTGCCATGAAGGACAGAATCTCCTTTGAGTGTAAAACCACACCTTTACCTTTTCATTTTAAAAATCACTACCCCACTATTTCTTCCCTGTGATTTAACTCACATCTTGCACTTCACTCACAGCTCAGTCTCATTGCATCCCTGGACAATGATTGCTATGAACAGACCTTCCTTACATTCAGGATGGTGGGATGACAAGCTGTATGGGCAGGAAAACTAGACAAGAGGGTTAGAGAGCTTCACCTGTCCTCTTTCTTCTGATGTAAGTGGTGACCAGGAGTATAACAGTAGCAATCAGAGCAGTTGTAGGCAGGAAGGAACTCAGCACCATGAGAGCATAGAGAGTCCTGCAGGGAAAAGTATGAT